TAAAACAAATCTCTTTTCTTCTACCCAGCAATTCATCCAAACTTTGTGAGCTTTGCGAACTTTATAATATGCAACACTTGATTTCTAACTTATTATAAATCATAGTTTTCAAATATAATGCGATGATATTTATTCATCCTATGTCACGAAAATGATGAAGCACTGGCGGTTGAATTTCTGCACAATAATATGAGTAGTATTTACGTTTCCATTAAATTTCACATAGCCTTGCTTCCAAAAGGCATTCTTTAACATCACATTCTTTTGTGAGATTGTCGATGAGGCAAAGTTGTATTTTAGATAACAATCGATTACATTACTTATTTTTCGTTTGCAAGTAGGTTTTGAGGCTACCAGTAAATCATGGACATGAGATGTTTTCGCCCTATTTACTGAAGTTGAAAAAGCACCGGTAATTGAAATAGGGCTAATATATTTCATATATCGGTAGTCTCGAAAGCCTCCTTATGAACGAAGAAGAAAGCGATGAGTTATACCATTGTTATACCATTGGTTCTGAATCAGATTTTTATATAACACACGTTTTTTTGCAAAAGCAATCTAATCATTTTGTTGTAATCAGTCTGTTTGATGCTCTTTTCCTAGATTAGTGGACATACAAATAAAGGAATTAAAGATGTAAGAACCAATAAAGATTAAATTCGTCGCTGAGGCTTCTCCAACTGACCAGATCATCAAAAATGTCTTTTTGATGCACATGAATGGTGATTAAAGTCTCAAACTTGGTTCTGTCTATCTTGCTGAGCTCCTGTGTGGTAACGCCAATCAACTCATTAAGGATGTCCGAGAAGAACTGGGCAGTCTGTTGCATTATTTTGCGATCCACTTTAGCTTGTGTCAGAGCCTCTTGGGCGTCGCGAGTCCACAGCATCTGGATGCCAAGTAGGCCAACCTGAGCAGGATGGCCAGTCTCGAAATCCATCAATTTGAAGTTGGCAATGTCATTAATGGCGAACCAAGCCGCCTTTATTATGCTGTGAAGAGAGTTGCGTGACGATTTTAGCAGTTCTCCGAGCCAGACTTCTACGTTTCCCTAAGCGAAAAAATAATACGTTGCAATATAACAGATGTGGCACAGATTAAATAAGATAAAGTTAAGACATACAGAAAGCTTATCGTAAAGATCTGTTGTTGTTTTTTTAACGTAGAATCAAAAAAAGGAAACTTTAAATGGTATGCAACAAATACTTCGTATAAGGGATTTTTTATAATGTTAAAACAGCATAGTGACGTGGTGGATCCATTTGGGGTTCCATGGATTCGTGAATAGGGGTTCAATTCAGAAAGAGGAATCGAAAACTACCACTCATTTCTTTACAACGGTTGCTATATTGCTTTTTATAGTCTTTATCTAATTACAGATTTTTAATAGTGAATTTTTAACAGGGATATGCTGATTGGAAGGATTATAGTGCCATTCATATTATAAAGAGCTGCTTTACCTAAGAATTCCATATAAGGCATAAGAATGCAAAGTAATAAAACGTAGTCTGGCTGATTTTTTACATTAAGGGAATCTAAGTGCCAAGTATTGCTAGCCATCCCCGTTATAGTTTAAGCATCAGGCACTTACATAGCTCCTTAGGGCATAAATATTTGTAAAGTTGTCAGCCAAGTCGGTGTCCAAGATCCAGCAGGTTGAATGAGATGAAGCACGTGAAGTCAAGTAATGCTTATTAGAGAAATGCATGAGTCAGTCATCTTTTGAAAGCGAGCTGAATAGGGATAAACATGTGATCCTGATGCCAGGAGATACGAGGAAATGGCTTTTCATATGGCCAGGTAACAATAAATTTACGTCATTTTTGACATCGTATCAAGAGCTAATAGACCTTGGTGATTACGCCTAGGCAATTTTGTTTTAGCTCACCTACTAATTTGATGCAAAATGAGTTGCAGAGTTAGCAATGTGAGCTTTATCAAACTGATTTATTTCTTACATATTTAGGATAAGAGAGTATGATCATCGATCATAAAATTTATATGAGGATCTTTTAGAGTTATTATGAAAAAAATGGGCATTTATAACTCAAACATCAAAAGGAAAATTGAGTGCTTAATTACAGTGTCTAATTAGGAAAAAATAGATTAGATTATAAACCTACTTGTGCCATAACTGAATGATCCAGTGAGATAGACTCGCCCTCTTGGGAATTGACTGCAACAATTTTATCGTAGAACTTCTCGTCGAATGTGACTGTTTTTGTATTGTCGAACACACTCAAGAGATGCGCCTGTATAGTGTGAGAGTCAGAGGCCTGACCCAAAATCTCAAGAAGAGCAGGGTCAGACACGAAGAAGAAACGCGGGAATACAAGTCGCTTTTTCTCCAGATATCCAGTAAGTGACTTTTGACAGAGCTCTAGCTGTTCTAAAAGATGAGGTAGAAGTTGAAGAAGCGTATCATCCCCTGTGCAGCAGGTCACCACATTCGGCACCTCGTGGGCGCGTTGCATTATTCTTTGCCAGCTTTTGTCAATATTGCCAAAGCGTTTGGCCTCCTAATTAAATTCAGGGAAATTGATAGCTTATGGTAAAAGCAGAACGAAATATTTCATCATGGATTGCATGGGTACTTGAAATGATAAGATTATCGTTAAACAATGATTTTCACAAAAGTAAATTCATTACTATTTCTACCCCAAATAGGAACCAAAGG